CAGGCGAAGGGATGCAAGACAATCCAAGCCAAAGTCAGTGTTGAAGAGGTTTACAGGAGTCATGGCCAGAAGATCAGAGATCCATACAGGTACCAAAGGAAAATCGGTGTATGGAAACAGATCCAGGGTCATCAACAGACAGAATCCAGCAGGAGTCCAAAGACGGGTCAGGCAAACAGATCAGAAAAAGGGATGGGCAGGTGCAGAGGCCCAAAGGCAGAACGGGTCAGGATCAGGCAATTGGAACACAATCAGGTATATGCTAGAGAACTCTCACTAAATGCTTGAATAATCTGCCACTGATGACTGGAAGCAGGTTAAAAAGAGACTGGAGCAGGTGGCACAAATGAAAGGTGATGAGAAACTGGGCTGAGCTAGGTAGGTGAATGGAATGAACAATAAAGCCAGTCATCAGTGGCAAGATCATGACATGGACAGGATATTTCTAATATTTGCAATATTTAGCACATGAAAGACTGAAATTCCAGAAACCTCTTTGATATAGGAAATAAATAAGAGGTCCTGATCAAAAATAACACCAAGATTTTTATATTGATTATATGAGATCCACATAATCCCATCCAAATGAAGTCACATGAGCTGATGACTGGCTTAACAGTTCATTTCATTTACCTGCCCAGTTCTGCCCGGTTTCTCATCACTGCTCATCTGATCCACCTGTTCCAGCTTCTATTTAAACTGCTTGCTCCCAGTCGTCAGCGCCAGATTGTTCTTAAGCCTTTGGTGTAAGAGTATTCTAGGTTTACTTTAGAGTTCTGATTGCCCGATCCTGACCCGTTTTCTTCTTCGGACCTTTGAGCCTGCCTTTCCCCATTCTGATCTGTTTGCCTGACCTGTCTTCAAACTCCTGTTGGATTCTTCATGTTTTATCCCACCCTTCGTCATCTGCTCTGACCTTATTTCCTGTCAGTTCTGTGTTCTTCAAGGTTTTGGCATCTGGAACTCTCTGTGTGGGAACCGCTACGTCTTGTCAGCTGACAGGCTCGTATCAATCTCTTTCTCTGGGCACGGACTTTACTCTAAACCAAGTTAGTGACTCATGCATTCAGATCATCCTCCATCAGGTTTTCGTGGTCACTAACCTGTGTTCCTCTCTCCAGACTCCCCTGGATCAGATGTCCTACCCACTGCAACTCTGATCCGTCGGTGTTCTAATTAACGCTTTTTGAAGATACCCCACTGTCTGTCTGGCCATAATAGTAGGTCCCTCTGTCTGTCTGAGTCTTGACAGACTGACTGATCAGCTTCTTTTTCAAAGAATCTGGTCCAAAGACAATAACTTCTGTTTTGTCTGCATTCGGGTCTTCATGACATGCCTGTAATCTATTTAACGGGTTAGTTTCATGTGGATTTATAGACAGATATAGCTGTCCTATTGTTCTCAGCCTGACACCATGGTTCAACACTGATTAACCATGTAGCATCTGAAAGGACACACCTATCCTGGTTACGCTATCTAGCCTCAGCTTTCCAAAACAGACATCATCAGATGTTACTGGTCCTGTAGAATAAAAGAAAATATTTCAAGTTTAACTATTTGGGTTTTTGATTATTTCAACTTTTTTATTTTTAGCAACAGATGTTACTTGTCTGTAAAAGATATTGCTAATGTATCAGGTTAGGCACAAATAAATCATTAAAAAAATTATTTGCATATTTTTTCTTTATATTTTTGTTTCTGACTTAACAGGATCTCATGTATATTTTGTCTGAAATAAATGTTAAAAAAGTAGAGTTTAAAGTCTTAAAATAAGATTTTGTCCAAAGAAAAGTTTTAAACATATGCTTAAGTTCAAGAATGCTATTTTTTGTATTTTTTGTTGTTGTTGTTAAATTAATTCAACAAATGGCTTAATTAATAAACAAATGGCTTAGGCTTAAGCATGATATGCTAGAGTCTGGTTAAACAAATGTTTTCCACGCTAGGTTTAAATTCAAGCACTGAATGCTAGCCTCAAAGTGAAACTAAAACAATCATCATACTTTGACTATTATATTTTTAACAACCATTCCAAATCTTCACGTTGAATCCTCTCATTTCAAATCAAAGTTGGATTGAATTCTGGGTTAATTACAGTATATTTTTTCATTAAACTGACCTAAGTAACATTGTAATTGATGTATAATTTAATGAAGCAAACTTTGACAGAGATACAATATGTTCAGCAAATGATACTTCCTCATATTTCTTGTCCTCAATGGGAAGTCTGAGCATATGAACAAAAAACAAGGCATTTCCATTATGTCTGGGAAACCATGCACAGCAAAATGAGTAAACAAGAGGTAAAACATGGTCTCCTGCTCGCTGTCTGTTCTAGAAACTTTCTCTACAACATCCAGACAGGATTTTACAAAAAATAATTCTTCATGGAAAGACAGTAAGACAGATGTTAAATGTAATATAATGATGCAAAACAGCTTTTGTTAAAGCGTAAATATGTTTACTTTTTATTAAAGGTTTTACAAATGTATTATGGATAATTAAACAATAAAAACCGAACCATACTACAATTTCTTTACAAAATCTTGTGTATGTCAAAGAACTGATAAGAACAAACATTGTTTACCTTCTGCATATGCGCTGGTGAAAAGCAGCAGAGCAGCCAGGGTTAATTTCCAGCAGCGTTTGTCCATCCTGAGCTGGAAACACTTTCAGGTCCAGGCTTTGAATGTGCACACTATTGTTGTTTCCTTCTAATTTATAGAAATTCACAGCCGAAGCATGCAAGTGGTTATGTAACAGCTGCGCAAATACTCTGCATGGATTATTTTTACATATGATCAACCAGTGTCCGCCTAAGCAATGTGGGAAACGGGCACCTGTGAAATACGTAGTGTGTTGTTGAACATTGAGGAAATCACATTGCTGACTGTTCACAATGGTCAGTTTGGTGGCTCTCTGTGAGGAAGGCATGGGTATTTTGGAGAAATTTTCCATTTCTATTATATAAACCCATTCCACTTATTTGTGAAATCAATGTACCAGCCTCATTTGAAGTAATATGACCACACCACTCTAGAAATAAGTGCCTCTCCTCTGTGAAGCAATATGTACAGCATGTTACTGTTAATATTAAGAACAAATGGAAAGCTTGGCTGCAAAACAGAGGAAGTTCCAAAATGCTGTATCACATGTTCTGAAAGCAGAGACAGAAATATATAACCCCCCTAAGGCAATTTGGATGTGTCTGAAGAAAAACAAAAATCACATAAGTGTTTAACACAGACGTTCCTTGCCTGTTCTACAGGGTTTAGCGGTTTCCCTGCTCCAGCACAACTGGTTTGCATTGACAGCTGATCAACAGGCCTTTTCTGAACTGCAATGATCTGTGCTAAAGCAGGGAAACCTCTGAAAGATGCAGGACAGCAGCCCTTGAGGACCTACTTTGGGAATGCCTGTCTTAACAAAATCCAATGGTTAATCATTGGTCCATATTGAGCTGACTTGAAAGGGAGAACAGGAAGTGGATGTTTTGCAGTTGATGTGTATGTAAAGTCCATTGCAGAAGGACATTGCCTAAAATAACATTGACAGAAGTGCGTTTACTGTCAGAACGACACAGATGATTTGGTATTTATGATAATAACATAAACTTGAATGTTAGTGGGTTTTTTGGGGTTGGTAGATAATATTTAAAAGAAACTAAATGTATGACACTTCCTGGTAGACATACTCCTAAAGTCTCTTACAAAACTATTAACACTCCTTGATTTTATTCACTTATTGTTTTTGTAATCTGAGCTAAATGGATCACACCAGTATTAAATAGAATGAGACCCCACAATGAACCTAGGGGGACCTCGCATGTGATTGTTGAAAAGCTACCTGTTGAAACAAAGAAGTCTGATTCCATCAAGTTAAACTCAAACTAGTCAATTGCTGTGCCAAAAAAATAAACCCAGTGCTCTAGTGGCTTCAGTAATATCCCACAGTGTACAATGTTGTTAACCATGTTTAAATTCAATAAAGCCACTACCTTGGTTCTTCCATAGTGTATTTTTTTTGTGGATGATATTGAACCCCTGCAGTATGGGTACAGTACTGAGTAACTAAGTACACAAACCTAACTGAAAAGGGCTGATTGGTGTAAAATTGTATTTCACTCTTGAAATAAACATTTTTTAAATTGGTTCATTTAAAACATACTTTATTGATTCGAAAAGGAGATTAAAAGTTGTTGCAAATAGGCTGAGGTGAATTCTTGTAGTTTTAATGAAAAAACACTAATAACAGGCAAAATCCAAAAATCCAACTAAAATGTAACTCCAGAACCAGAACCACGGAGACATCAAGGAGACATCAAGGGAAACACGCACAAGGAGCCAGGG